GGGGCAATTGCTTGTTTTGTTTTGTTCTTTTTTCGCTTTTGGATAATGGATTATTTAATTGGATCATAGAACCAAGGGAGCGCTATCAATTATCAAAAGGGCTGCAATTTACAAAAAGAGATTGCATTTCCCCTATAACTCCTGAAATGAAGACAAGAACTCAAGAAACGGTGTCTAAATTGTATATAGCCTTAAGTTTTTTTCAAAAATGCTTCGTGGTACATATATAAGTACATCAAATGCTTCCTCTATCTTTATGTACTCAAACATCTGCAGTTTTTTTTTCTCCCGCTTACCCATAATCTGCAGCACATACTTTCTCTTTTTTTTTGTGGGTATGTGACTTTGATAAAGATGTTTTCAAGACTAATGGTAGTGTAAAGATGCGTTCTTCTCCATTGTTCCTCTGAAATCCAGGATAGGCTGTTCAACGTATGCTCTGCGAAGTTTTTGCTGCTGAAATTTCAGCAAACTAAGCACCAGACTGGTGTATGAAGACTTAATACATGAAGTTGTGAAGAAAACAAATAATTAAGTAAAGAGTGCCCTCAATGTTTCTTGCTGCCGGTGTTTCTTCACTTTATCCCTAAATTGGCGTAGGCACAACAATGTCGGATTTAGAAGGATTCAAACTTAGCCTAGGTTGGGTTCATTTTATCTGTATGTTTTATGTTCCAATAGGTGCAGCTGTTGCTGCATGATAAGTTATCACGTATAGCAGAAGGCACTTGCATCTGACTTTATGAGATACTACAGGCACTGATGTTGCAACACTTTCTTGGGACTCAAATGCACAATTTTGGCTGAAAGAGTTAATGGATATCAACACCCAATTGAAGAATTAGAGAAACTAGATTTACTAGGATGATCTTTAGGTGGCACTTGATTGTTGAATTCCTTAACTCAAGATTTTGAAGTTGTGGTGTACTGGTGTCAAGGTGTATTTGAAGTGAAGTTTCTCTAAAATCTTCAACATCCACTCACAAATTTTCAACTACCACAAACTCTTTTACCAAAAAAAAACGCGGCTTTTAACACAATTTCAACTTCCACCAACTTGTTTTCCAATTTCTACTTCAAAAAGGTTTTTTCCCAACTTCAACTTCAAATGTTGCCCAAAATAGTCCACTAAATGCATTGGG